TAATAACCTAACTTTGACTTCGTGTATGGCGTCTACCAATCGTTTTAAGTTTTAACCTCTGTGTGATAATATGTTATGAAAAAAACATAGTCGAGCAGTAGTTTTTGGTATCTAATGTAATCGATTATTATGCAGTTAGGCACTTATACGTTGATATTAATATTTATTACTTGTCTTTGTTTAAAAGGTTTCCACGAAGCGATCGGAGATACAATCGCTTTGTCTGTATCAACGCCAAAGCACTTGCATAAGATTGGCCTATTGCCTAAGACAAGACGCTCGTACGAAGCCGATATAAATTATCTTTACAAGATCGGATTGGACAAAGTAGTTTTTTTACCTTTTGGATATTTGATGGATCTATGGAGATGGAACGTGTTTAAAGGTCACACAACGGAAGATCAATACAACTGCGACTGGTGGAAACTCAAGTTATTAGATTATATTTAATATTCTTGAAACGCTTATAAATTGTATATATACTTATATATATTGACCATTATGTATTAATATAAACATTTTATCTGTTATAGATATTCTTATCAAGGAATCGAGCCACCGGTAACCAGAACTGAAAACGATTTTGACCCGGGATCCAAGTACCACATCGTTGGAAACGTACCTTATATTAGGTACTTTGTGAGTTACATCATACAATTTCAATTCCATCAAGCATTATGCGAGAAAGCTGACCAGTTTGATCCAAAAAATCCAACGAGCAAACCTTTACATGAATGTGACATTTATCAAAGCAAAAATGCCGGAAACGCTTTCAAGTGAGATAATTTAAATATATAAAAAAACATATCTTTAAATTCATTAATCTTGATATTTTATAAACTAAAACATATCAACCAATTAAGATTTAAAATCTTAAACGACCTAAACGAATAGGAATAAAATAAAGTATTTTAAAGTTATCTAAAATATATGTTATGTTCCTACAGCAATAAATCCCATTTACCAATTTTATTCAGATATAATTTAAACGAAGACATTACAAGTAGCTTAAAAAAAATATGTTACATACCTATATTACATTTATAAAATATATTTACAATACTAAAATATTATCATATTACAGTGACATAATTTAGTGTAAAATATGATAATATTATATTTTTAAAAATATATTGATTTCAAAAAATAAATAAATAAATAACTACATTTGAATGATGACGTTCATTTGAATTATTATTTACGAATATTGTGAATTTTAAAATTAATAAAAACTAAAATAAACAAAACAACTTATTTAAATTATTTTAATATTATTATAGAGACATGTTGAAACTAGGATCGTCGAAACCATGGTTTGATGCTATGGAACTACTAACAGGTCAAAGGGAAATGGACGCTGGACCTTTGTTGAATTATTTCAACCCTCTGTACGAATGGCTTAAAAATGAAAATAAAAGAACAGGAGAATATCTTGGCTGGGAAACAAATAAAAAAAGTAATTATCAAACATACAAATTTGTAAAAATTATCTGTATGTATAATACTAATTTTTTTTTTTTAGTTTGCTATACGAAGGATGAAATAAGTCGACCTTAATTTTAATTTTAATCCTTTTATTAGTGATCAACAGTATTATAATCATATATATTTATTATGATAATTCGTTTATAGATTATTCGATTCAATAGCTATATTAGATATTTATGTTTCAGTACATTTATATTTGTACATTACTATATTTAATTAATTTATTAAAATACTAAGTTATGAATTAAATTTCATAAATAATTTAAATTGTACTTAATACACTATACGTTTTATTATTATTATTTATTTATTTTAAAATAAGGATAATTATTATAGCTATAGTTTTCCACTACTAATTTTTATTTTTAATTGTTTACACCGATAGAATGAGCCAATAAAAGCCTAATAAAGCACTAAAGCATTAAAACCCGTTGCACATCTTGTCACCTATTTATACCTGCTATACGTTTAAATATATACATGGTTAATATTTTATGTTTCTAACACAGCAACACAGTCATACCATTAGTTTTAGCATAAGCATTTGGCACAGTACGCAACGGTCGCCAGTACAAAGTACAGGCACCGCAGCGACCGGTCTGCACTGTTACCACCACCATCACTATGGGTAAAAACGCAATATTGTCAACTCTCCTACCAACGCCGTAAAGGCCAAGGCGAAACGGGAAGATAAGTCGCGCCGGACGAGCTTCGGCCGTTGACGATCGTTCTGTGGTGTCACGACTGTCGCACTCGCACGTCTAATAGCATCTCATATTCCGACTGTTGTCCAAGAACTCTATAACGGCTCTCCAAGGACTCTGCAGCTACGTTGGATTTACCAAGTCGTGTCCAACCACTGAAGGTTAAGAACGTCTTCGCCGTATCCGTCCAACTAATCGGTTTGTATAGCTCCACACCCGTGCGAGCATCCACAATCATACGACCAGCTTTTCGCGAATCAAAATCACGACAACCGCCGAAGCCGCGTCACATTCTCATTTTAGTGACGTACGTCAAATTTTCAATGGAGTAGGGGTGAGGGCTTGAAAATAAATATTCACTCGGTTATCATAAAGATATATAACGTGAATTAGGTGATTTCTTAGTTCTTTTTAATAGAAGACATAAAATACCTACAAATATGTAAATAAAAAAAAAAAAAAAACATTAAGAATTTTCGTAAAAATAATAGACAATAAAAAATGATTTTATTATTATTATTTTCTATTTAATAACCAAATTCGTATGGTTTTTTTTATCGTAATTTTAAATAATTGGTTGGCAATATTCAAGAATCGTAAGTATATGGTATAAATGTAAATAATTTAAGCATATTGGAATAGAAATAATTTGTAAAAAAGATCGAAAATAATCAATACAAAGGATTCCTTGCAGATTTTTTTACAATGGTTATAAAAATATTGAAAATCGATACATATATCTATAAAATAATATAGATTCAACATTTTCACAAATGCGTGTTGGCCTTATTTAATAATAATACATCAAATTAAAACCTATCAAATAACATAATAAAACATCTATTTGTGTAAATCAATACTATTTTCAATAACTATCCTAATATATTAAATAGGTACCTGATTTTTATTTTAACTTATATGCACCATCATAAGTTTAGGAAAATATAAATTATTTTATTTTTTTGCGTAGCAAAACATGAAACAGACAATTTTTTTTATTTTCCACAACGAACGACGTTTTTTAAGTTCTACCGTTATTACCGCGGGCTCTGTTCCAGCACTGCATTTGGTTATTGCAGGATCTAAACAAGTGCGCACATAGACCAGTGCTGTTCTGTTTTCAATCTCAGCCAAAACTTGAAACGGGATGCACTCAAATTCGGTAGCTTCGGTTGCATCAAGCGCCATATGAATGTTCGGCATTGAACTCCATAACTTTCTTGATAGACCGACGAAGTCACCTATTGCCACGTCCGGTTTGGCCGGGCCCGCACAAATCTGCCATATCGGTGACGAAGAAAACGATCAAATCTCCAATGCATCTTCCACACCAGATGTCATTGCAATATTAGGCATTGATCTATAGACTATATTGCCTTATATTCGACTCGGAAAAATTACGGTAGGTATTCTTTTTCGGAATGACTGTATTTGCAAGTAATTTGGCTGAAACCAACAGAATCACCGAGTTGGAAGCAGCAGACGGAGATCGGATTTCGACGTTGGACATAATATTATATTCTGTATGACTTATAGTGTAATATATGTTAATATATTTTTACAATAAACGTACGATTAATACTTTTTGACAGAATATATTATTATACTTTATTGAATGTACTTTCTCTTAAAATGTTGTATAGAAGATTTTCTATATACGTGCATCAAACGTTCTAGCTTATTTTTAATGACATTTTAATCATTTTACTACTTAAAAAATTGTAATATTTGATTTAAAAAATAAAAAACCGTTAAAAAGAGATGGTGGCCATTTTCGAAAAAATATTCTGATATTTCCTTTTTTCTGTGTTCATATTTTTTTGGCTTCACATCTAATGGTGAATATGAAGTTTTGAAATTCAAAACTTATTTTTTCACCTAGATATCACATGAAACCTATTTAAAAAAAAAAAAGGTTTTTCGGGGCCTTTTGTCGTAAAATTTTCGAAAATAATATAAATGATTATCTACATAAAAAGGTAGAACGACAATTCACTCTAGTTTAGAAAGAAGCCCGCGTGTTGATATTATTGTTATCGTCTTATCGTTTTCGATTACGATTTACAATTCATAGAATATAAGAGTACCTAAGTAGTAAGTAGGTACCTACTAGGTACTATAAGCTATTAGCAAGTGGACTCCTTTTTTTACAACACTCAAATGATATATAATTCCTTCTTTAGTTTAACAAGTCGTTGGGAAATCTCACAAAATTTCTTTATGTAAGTTTAAATTCATATTAACATTAAAAAATCTATGTAAAACGATGTGGTCTTCAAAAATTCAAGATATGACATTTGTAAATCCCTTAATAAAGTACCTATTCAAAGAAATACTTAAGTCGCTAAAAGAAATGTATTTAGACAATAACTAACCATATGCCATGAAGTTCGTTAAATTTATAACAAAATAAATAGTTTGGAATTTTCATTTTTATTACCTATCTACCTATGTGGAATTCAATTTTAAAACTTTTAATGCTACTTCTAAATTATTACAATCAGAAAATATTAATTGATCTATAGTTGTATTTCTATATCGTTTATTGAAAGATTATATTCAAAATATAAGAAATTTATTTCATATATATTTAGAAGAAGCCAAAATTCGATGTGGTAGTGAGTCATTTTCATCTCTTATTATATATAGAACTAAAAAAAAAAAAAATCCTCCTGCTAATTCATAGTTCTTTATGACAAAACTATAAAAGTGATAAGCTTTATAATTATAGCATGGTCTTAGAATAATAATCTATTTAATTTTTTTTCTTACTTTTTAGTTTTCAATGTTGATGTAAATATATAATCAATACTCAATCATCTATTATATTTTATCTATTAGTCGACTACTCTAATGCTCGATTGGTTAAGTTTGATAATTAGTTTGTTTAAAACTAAACCGACAGGTGAAGGTGCAACGGCGATAAGACGTGATAATATAATTTTTATTTTAGTTTTAATTTGTAAGTTCTGACGATTTACGATATTATTCTTTAAATGTTACACGTCTCAACAGTTTTTCGAAGATTGATTTCTAACGTTTTGCCTATTCAGTCGTTCAAAATGGTGAAGTACTTAAAACAAGACGAGGCCATTGAAATCGATCAAGAACTGTTTAATGTGTATAAATTTAGTGTTGATCAACTAATGGAGCTGGCTGGCTTAAGTTGCGCAACAGCTATACAAAAATGCTTTCCACCAATTAGTCATCACAAAGTTTTAGTTCTCTGCGGACCGGGTAACAATGGTGGTGACGGTTTGGTGTGCGCGAGGCATATGAAACTGTTTGGTTACTCATCTGAAGTATATTATCCTGTACGTACAGATAAACTTTTGTATAGTAATCTTGTGCATCAGTGCGAGACATCTGGTGTACTTGTGTCTGATTCTCTAACTGACGATATGTCCTCATATGACCTCATAGTAGATGCACTGTTCGGTTTTAGTTTCAAACCACCAGTGCGAGAAAAATTTCTGCCAGTCATGAATGCATTGAAAAAAACCGACAAACCAATTTGTAGCATAGATGTCCCGAGTGGTTGGAGCATAGAAGGAGCTCCTGATAAGGATGCAATTAATCCAGAACTGTTGATTTCATTAACAGCACCAAAGGAATGTGCCAAAAATTTCAAAGGAAAATATCACTATTTAGGTGGAAGATTTGTACCAAAAAAGCTGGAAGAAAAATATAAATTAGAATTGCCTATATATCCTGATGCAGAATGTTGCGTAAAACTATAAAACTATAGGTACACAAAATGTATAATTTAATTTAAAAAAATATGTTTAAGTTGATGTATAATTGTTTTTTGTTGATTCAAAAAATGTTAATTAAAATATAAATGTAAATTATAGTTTTAATATATTCTAATTTTATTTATTATCATAATACTCATGTTTTAATATTTCTTTCCACAAATAATTTAAAATATGCAATTGTACATTACATACTTAAAGAAATATTGTCATGTGAAAACAAATTATTTAAGTGTTCATTTTTTTGTAGGTAATCTACTATTCTTTTAAGTTTAGTTTTGGTCTTCTTATTGTTATAACTATAAGCAAGGTATTAAAATTATAGGTTTCAAGCAGCGTGCTAGCATTCAACTCTTACCTCAATTATCTGTCTATACTTTTTAAATTTTATTCTTCCTTAGATATCTTTTAAATGTTGAATTCTAACTGACCAAAATCTTGTTACACTACTTGAAAATTTCCTTTTTTTTTTTTTTTATAACTACTCGTATCACTTTATATACACATGAGTAGACTACCATCCATTATACAAAATGTATTGTGTCATTGATATCACATATTAATATCAACCTGTAGACTGTAAGTTGACTTTTCTCTCCTATTTCGTTACTTCATTTTGTAACTTTTAATATCCATAATAAATTGCTGTTTTGGTGTTTAATTAAAAAAATTCTTCACATTTACCATTTCCAACAAGTAATAAGCAACGTATTGGCCTACTGAGTTTTAGAATTTCTGAAATTTGATTACAGCTATAGTTATTGTACGGTCTAATAAATCAATTAAATTTTATTTTTTAAACCAATTTATCATGAATAAAAAAATGTAAAATTATTATATACTCATTACTAGACTATGTTTTGAGAGGCCTACCAAAATTTTCTCAGTAGTTCACTGACTCGATTCAGGTCTGACCATATCAGTTATAAAAACAGAACCAGGATTTATTAGTATTCATAAAATATAGTGGAATATAGTTTCAGTTATTCTTCTGTTCAATATTTTGAGCGCTTAAGTACATAAATATTTCATCATTTATTAATGCAACTATCAGCTATGCTTATGAGTAACAAAATCACAAAATCAAAGCATTTTTCTTTTTAATTTAATATTTTTGATTTACTAAGTGCTCTGATAATTTACTACATTTCTTATTCACAATTTTTGTATAAGAAGTACATTAAACGTTTATCAGCTCATGTCTATTACAAAAACTTTTCAGCATTTAAACTACAATAATGCTATTTGAATTATTTCTCACTATTCACTTTTAACTGTTCAACAGTCTAATGAGCATTTTATTCTTTGTCAGTTATCTTTTAATTGAATCTTAATAATTATTTAAGATACTTAAACGCTTCATAACTTAACTTTAAATTATCAAACATGTTTCAATAATATAATAATTATTAACAACAAAAATATTAACAATAAATATTAACAGTAATATTAACCAACATCTAGCAAGTAGCATTACTACTATAAGAATACACCTAATACACCTATGAGAACTGAAAAACATTAAGTTGTTAAAAATCTAAAAATATTGAACTAAAATTAAAATATAATATAATGTATTTAAATGTGGTGCAAAGCAAGATTTTATTAGTTTGAGTAAATTTCTTCTTTTTTTTTTTTTTTTAACATATTTATTTTAATTTGTACAATCTGTAACAGAAATATTTACAATAAGCACAATGGAGGGTTACAGTAGGTCATGGTTGGCTTGGTTAAAGGAGCTATTTAATAATAGCACTTCATGGCGAGAAAGAAACTAGTAAATTAGTCCACTAAAAGATCACGACACCCGCTACGTTTTAAACGACAGGCAGGGTCACCTGGAATTGTACGTTAAGAGAGGTTTTGGATGAGAGGGTTACAGTGATTAGCAAGTTTGAGGTGGAAATGCTTGCATTGGGTTTTGGCGACGTTTTTTACTGTTGGAATGAGGTCCCTGTGTAAGGTGTCATTTGACACATAAAAGGGGTCTTGGGTTATCTGTTGTAGGCATTTTGATTGGAAAGTTTGGATTCGGCTTATGTTAGAGTTTTTGGCTGATCCCCAGAGTTGAACTCCATAGGACCAGATAGGTTTGAGGAGTACCTTATACATAAGGATTTTATTATTTAATAAGACGTGTTTGGAAGAGAGGAGGAGGCGAAGCTGTCTTTGGCGATTAATGAGTACTAGTCGTTTATAACGTATGTGGGTAGCCCACGGTGAGCCAGCGATCTAGGTATAGGCCTAGGTAACGCACATTTTGAGCGGTTGGGAAAGGTTGGTTGTTAAGTGTGATAGAAGGGCAGCTTATTGGTCTGAGAATGAATGTGCAGTGTATAGATTTGGATTCGTTGAGTTTGAATCCCCATTCTTTGTACTAGGTCGAGGTGAGTTTGGATTCTGTTGGATGCCTCGAGAGGGTCATGGAAGAGGGCCAGGATAGCTTTATCATCACTCATCAGCAAAGTCACAAGTGGTGGTAAGGATGGTGGTGGGTTGATCTGATATGTACAGATTGAAGAAGAGAGGTGGCGCTACAGCTCCTTGCGGTACTCCAGCTCTAATTAATGATATGTCAGATAGGACTGAGCCATATCGTACGGAGAAATGCCTGTCTTCTAGATACGATTTAAAGATTAAGTAGAAGTTTGGAGGAAATATTGATTTTAATTTGAAAAGGAGGCTTTGATGCTATACCTTATCGAACGCTTAAGATACGTCTAAGAAGGTACCTGTGCAAATTAGTTTCTTTTTAAGTGAATATGAGATTTTGTCGACTATGCGAGTTTGAGTAATAAAATGTAATTATATTCAATGGGGCAAATAATCTACCTAAAAAATAAAAATAAATATTAACAAAACAATATGTTTTTAAAAAGAATAATAATTGTTTTTTTTTATCATAAAAAATTAGTAACAATACACATTTCAAGTAATAAAATATTTTAACACATGTAATTTATTAAATATTATTTAATACTTACAGATATTTAAAATATCATATTTTTAAATATTAAGAACTATTGTTGATACATTAACATTGAATTTGATCTCCTTTTTCAAATGTAACTAAAACAAAACAATTAAATAAAGAAAATAGAAAAAAAAATTGTAAAAATTAATATCAATTTAGCTGTTTTAAATCACTTTATATTGTTTTTCGTTTTTCATAGTAAGAATTTAAATTATAAAAATCAGATATATGGTGTATATTTAAAAAGTTTATTCATTACTGACTAATGTTAAATTTTTAAACTATACATCAACAAAAAAAAAGCTTTAATGTCTAAAATTTTAAAATTAATGTATTCCTCTATAAGACACTATCAATAATGACTTTACCCAACAAAAAAAAACACAAAGATTCAAAAACTTGAACTTTATGTGATATAATATATTTAAAAACAAAATTCGAAAAGAATCAAACCTACCAATTATAACGATAATTTTTATTTATTTTACCTCATCCACTTCATTATTAAATGAAGACTTAGATAATTCCACTTTATCATCAATCACAGTTAAACAATAATGTTGACACTCTTTAATGGTTTCTTGAGGTTTATTGTGCAGCAACATTTTAGTTAAGATTGAAATTGGAAAGTAGTTATTTTTGCAATTAAAACCCATACACATTGATTTTAATATGTTTCTAAAAGTGTTTAATAAAAATTAAATTTTTATAACAGAACAAGTAAATGTATAAATATTTAATACTTTCTAAGCATTGGTAATTGTACACTAATAACACACTGGTGCATTGCTGGAAATTTATTGTATGTTTCAAATAACTGTCCAAAATTACCATTCATAATATTCAATGATAATAGCACTGCCATTTTTATCAAAGCACATCTAAAATAAATACTTATTCATAAATCACAAACAACTAGTTATAACCACAAAAATTATATAATCTAAATATAAATTTAAGATAAAGTTTAAAATATACAAGTTTATATTCACAATTTAACTTTTCCTAAAGGTTAGGAGTAAGAAAATTATTTCAATAATATTAATATTAACAAGCAAAATATAATAAAATTATGCAAGGATTTAAAAATTCTATGTATGCCAGACAAATAAAATAATGGTAAATTTAATTATAACCAATAATTTTTACTGAATCCTACTCTAAAATTTCATAATTTATTATAAAATACAATCATTCATAATTTCATAAATTCTGAGAGAAGCTATGAAAGTATTGATTTAACAATGTTTTTTTTTAATAAGAACTAATTAAAAAATGCTTAGGTTTTCAATTAAAAGGTAATTTTGAATAAAATATTGGTTTTAATTTTTATTTTAGAGGAAAGATTAAAACTACCTACTTTTTTTGAAAATTTATTTTGGCTATGAATATGTAGGATCATTATCAATATAAAAAACATCATGTTCATTTAAGATACTATCATACTGATTAATATTTAATCCCTTTTCATATTAACACAGAACAAAGTAAGATACTGATATTTGATATTAGTTTATCTGTAAAAATCTTAATAACTTTATCCTAAATAATTTGATTTATTGATAAACTAACTTTTTTTTGATAAACGGCAAAACACGTTGAAGAACATTATAATCACCTAAATTAGAAACAATCAGAAGAGATACCATCTCAGAACAAAGTTCATCTGTTAATTTGTCAGAGTCTTCTAAAAATATTTTAACAATTTTAAAAATGTTTTCATGAAAATGCTTCATGTTTAAAAATGGATCAAATGTGTTAACATCATATTCATAACATCTATAAACAAAATTTGAAACATGATAAATAAAACATTAATTACTTTTATAGGTCTTATAATATTAATATTATGACTCACTTATAAGATGCATATGCATAAAACCGAATCATAGGTGGCAAAATAGCCATCCACTCTTGATTAGACACTTCTTGTATAGTGGCATCTTGCTTTATAGAATTTAAACGGTCATTGATAAAATCATATACAATATTGAATGGTATATTAGTTATTGGAAATATTCTAAAAACATTTAAGAATATTATATTACTAAATTTAGTAATCACTATTGTTATTCTAATAAAAATTATTTTTTACTCATTTAAAAGATATTTAACAGTATTTTTCAGAACTGGTGGTGGCCTTAAAATATGAGGTTTGCTTAATAAATTACCAGCAGCTGAACGGCTAAAACATTTAACCATTTTATATGGATTACATTCTAACTGGTGTACAAGTTTCATAGATTTTCTCCTAGACAAAAACATAACAAAATAATCAATAAGTACAGAAACATAATCTTGATTACAATCCTGGTAAAATTCAAAAAAGTAAATTAGCAGTTTTAAGTTATTATGTTTAAAAAAAAATCAGGTATAAATTATACATTTAACAAGTGAACGCTAGATTTTTCTGCTAAAGTTAACTAAAAAAATAGGCTTAAAGCTAGTAATGCCCAACTTAAATTGTTATTGCTTACATAACAAATTGTATTTTCTTACTCATACATAATTAAATTTGTTTATTATATTCATGTAGCTATTAAATCTTTAAACAATAATAGTAATGCAAAAATTATTATTAAGCTAAATTTAATTTTACTCACATACCTAGTTATTTCTTCTTCTGGACACATTTCCATGCATATCCCTTTCACAGGTAACATAATAAAATATATTATTTCATTTGTTTTGTTACTTCAGTACTATTACCACAGAATTAAAATGTCTATTGCAGTATTAGATCATTTATTCACCAAGGAACTAAATATTGATAAATGATGGTTGATTCTAAATTGTTATATTAACTAAATTCACGAAATAATCTGATAGTCAATATCCAAATTCATGATTCGCAGAAAATACAGCCACCGTTTTACCGCCATAGATACTAAAGTTATAAATTCTATAAAATCAATTTATTATTCTTTGAAATATTATTAATATTTTACTTCATTGTCTTTAACTTTGTAAACAAGTTACTAAATACTATTTAGTAAATAAGAAATATAAATAAATGACTACTTTAATATTTATCATTATTATCAATATTTACACCTTGTTTACAAAAAAAATTACTTTATCACAGGTTCTCTACTATTGATATAATTTTATCCATATCTGTACCTGACAATGCTATCATAAAATTGCGATTTGTGAATTCGTGATGGATAATCACAATATTATAAAAAAATTAAATACAAAAATAAAGTTTTTGATTTCTTTTGCTCAGTTGTAACTTTATTTTTTGAAACTTAAAATTTCTTGTTTTATAATTTAATCAAGAATATCATATAAATTTATGTCTTTAACGAACTACTTATTATTTGGATGAAATGTTGGCGACACGATCAGGTACTATAGTTTTATTTATGTGTTTATCGAGTATCAACTATAGAAAAATAGAGTAATATAACTAGAATTGCATTACCAGGTGATGTTAGATGTGAGCAGAGTCCATGTAATCGAAAACTAAAAATAATAGAATTGGGACTTATGGAATAATATATACCTACTGTTCAGTAGTATACGTATAGGTTATAGTATTATAGAACTAAAAGATTCGAAAACAATGATTTTATATATTATGCACCTGGTTTATCATGTAATTCGATAATATAACTGAAAATTGATTAAATTTCAATGCAAAAGTTTACTATTAAGTAATTGATATTGGTTTTATTAAATTTTTAAGCATCAATTTTTCTTAAAAACCAATCTTGAGATTACCTACTTTTATTTCGGTAACAAGTACTTGTATATTAAATAGATGAAATTAAAAAGTTAATAAAATAAAACAATAAACAATTTTTAATTCTTACATTGCGAGTAGGTACATAATGAATATTATGATTGATAATAGATACAGTTCTGCGAATTCGAGATCAACAGTTTTTAGATTTTCTATTCGTATTGAAATGTTAAAAATTTAAAATTGATAATCTTTATATTTGTTTTTGTATTAATTTTTTTACTTTTTTTATTTATTATTATTTATATAATGGTACTTAAGAGTTAATATGGCCAATTAGGTGCCTCCAGATACAATAAGGTGGTTTCACAAATCGATATTTAGTGCAGAATCCGTTAGGGAAAAAAGAATCTATTATCTAAGTGTTACCTAAATAAGTATATATATAATATAGACGTTCTATTAGGACTTATCCATCTAAGGTGTGTACTATACTACTATTGAATAAAGAGAATTTTAATTTTAAATTTTAAAAAAAATTCATCAAAACCTCTAAATTACAAATTATTTTGTAATTATAAATTCATAAAAAACGTTCTGATTATAACTAAGATTTGAAAATTTATTACAAGGTTCTTAGTACGTTTTTCAAAGTATATTAAAAAAAAAAAAAAAAATTTACTGAAAAGTAAAATTAATTTTTATGAGAATTTAAAGTAAACAATTTTCTGAAGTTGAATATTCTTAAAATAATGATTTTTTTCCCAAACGATTTTTAGTTTTTTGTTGTAATTCTTAAGTGAATAGCTGTGTATATAATTGAAATTATTAAAAAATGATTATATTATTATTTTCTATAGATGTTATAATTTTGACTCTTTTTGAGCTATTCTTAGACATAAGAAATTATTAATTTTTTTCTATAAATGTTAATAAAAAAATATTTGATAGATCATAACTCTTGAAAATGTATTATAAGATCTCGTATAAGTTATTATTTTATCTATATGTATAATTTTTAAAAAGCAAGACTTTTTTATGGACATTTTAAGTTTAAATTTGGACGAAATCATTTATTTAAACAATAAATAACAATGATAATTGTTTTATATAATTTAAAAACTTTATTCATGGGGTATTAGAAATTTTACGTATATTATATTACCTACTAAGAATTTCACTAAACAAAATGGCATTTTTAAATTATTTTAAGATTTTATCTATTTATACTATAAATCTGTATTAATTTTTTACGGTATTTACAGAAAGATGTTATATAATTATAAGTTATATAGATAACATAAGCTGATAAAATTTGATATAAGTATATATATATATATATATATATATATATTATTGTATATTATTATACTTAATAAATACTATAAAATTAAATAAATGTAACATTTCTAGAAAAAAATATATCAACTTACTGTAATACTAAAAGTAAAATAAATGACTTTAATAGCTTTAGATATCAAATAGATAAATATTATGAAATATACTTATTGATATGGGCTGACAGATCGTCTTCGCTTAGAATCGTATTTTTCTCGTCCAATGATATATCATTGAATTAAAATTTAACACATTTATAACAGTGACCACTCCACACCTTATGTATAATAGAACTATATTTACTTTGTTTATATTTTTGAAATTTAGAATGTCTTGGCACGTTTTGTTCTGTTTTGTATTATTGGTAAGGTGGACAAATGCAATGCAATTGCACCCCCTCTGGTTGAGCTAACGCCAAATGATTATTATATTATAAATACCAATTTTGATCTGTAGTGTGATTATACATCCCTGCACGATTTCATTATGAGGATATAGTAATCGAATCGACAAAACTCTGATTTTTATCAAACTTCTTTGGAAACGGTATTATAATTTATTCTAAAATTTTATGCAAGAGTTAGTGTGAAAATGATATAGGTATTTATTTGTTTTTATTTTTGATACTGATAATTGTGGTGTACTTTCGTGTCGCGTAGTGTACTATTATCCACCATTTTAGTAATAATAATAATGATGATGATGACTAAGGTTTGGAACGATACGTCGTGGTCAGACCGTGACTCTGCAGAGGCGATGGTTGGAGGAGAGTCGAGAACGTTGGAAATCACGGCCATCGGACGCACACGTCACGGTCCGAAAAACGTTTACTATTTCTCTCTCTCTTGGTCTCGACTTCTCTTCCACGCGTCAACAACGCCAACGCAAACGAATTTTTAAGGTACCTACTTCACCGTGAACGAATATCGCTCACCTGCATCTCGATTGTCGATATATGCTGCAGTATACAATAGTGTCGTTTTTATAGTATTTTAATAATCGTAATCCTGCGGGTCACGATTTTTTTACGGTTGTACATGGTATATAACGTGCACAAGTTACAGTAATACAGTATTATTATAATACAGGTAGGTAAATTAAAGGCAGTTAGGTAGATATATAAAAAGGTACTCGCTGACCGCTATCATAACTCACGTATATATTATATTTTATTATAGACCATAATACTGAGGTAGGTAAATCACTTATAAACTGCTACAGCAATATTGGAATAGCTTATAAATTATAATCATTAAATCGCACGTGTATAATATACAATATACATACAGTATTATTGGTATAACATTGTCACAATAACGATTTTAAATCACGCCAATACATCGTATACAAGTGTTATTAAAATCAAGTAATTACATTTAGTAAGAGAAATAACTAATAAGTTAACTTTACGTCGAACTTACAATAATAGTTTGACAATTAGTTTATGTTTTTCGGCCGCAAAGTGTTCAAATTTCAATCTCAATGGTATTAGTTTATTCCTTAGATTTATTTAATCATAATTATAATAATTGTTAAATAATTTCAAATTATTTGAATTAGTTTAATATATACAACGATATCTTTCGTTTTCCGACAGCCGTTCCAACGAAACGTCTGATCTGCCGAAGAGATAATACTTATAATAACACCGCCGTGGCTGTCATTGTCTTATTACCGAGTTGGTCGCCGTCCTCGCTTATTGGAGAAGGAAGAGGCGGCAACGGCGATGACGAGCGAACCGTCGACAGACGGCCAACTTTGCCGTTACTACCGAGACACGTTCCCGACGCCGACCGACGTCATGATGCCTATCACGTACTTGGGACTGGACTTCAGTACGCAACAGGTATTATACTTCTACAAATAAATTACATTTTAAAATAATGATTTACTTATTTTACTTATATATCGTCTACAAATAATTTTGTAGTCAATAAACCATTTCCAAATATCGCGTGACCATGAATATATAGGTAGGTGCGTGGGTAAATCGGCATACACGTGGGTCTTGACTACCTAATATTTTTTTATGTATTACAAGTTTTTTTCTTGAATAAATTTGGGGATTTTGGGTGCGGTTACAATATACGAGATTTTTAGGCTGTAAAATTAATATTTATAAATGTTTATAATCGGTCCATCTAAAACGTTTTCAGAATACCTATTGCAGTTGTACTGTCAATTTATTGTTAATATTCATTTTTTACAAAATACATGTGGGTATAATTGCATAAAATATGCCATTTGGCATAATGGTATAATCTGTTTCGATAGGATTTTAATCTAGTCATACATCATGAGATCAAGTATATAAGTTATTTATAAAGATACATTATTAAATTGGTTTTTAATACCAATTTTATGTTATTGCAATGATATAATATTGTTGCATAAATTGTATTTATCAATAATGATAAAATAAATTCTACATACAAATATACAATATATATTGTTGTACATGTGTATTTTTTAAATTTAATTAATACAAGTAATGATAATGCCTGTACGTATACCATGATGTATACCTTACCTAACCTGTTGATGTATGTATGAATAATGTTATACAATAATCCTATCGGTTATTTTAAAATTAAGTTCGTAATAACCTAAATGGCTAAATGTTTACTAATTTAGATAACGTATTTTATAATAATATATCAATATATCATAATTGACCTGTTTTGACCTTCACCAACGTTAGTTATAAATTTATGGATACTTGAATAATTAAATATTAAACACTAAAACATCAGATAATATAAAAGTAGACAACATTAAATTTTTTTTTTGAAATTTCTGAGATAATTTATCATTGTATTATTATAAAATTCATTTTTAAAAACAAAACGTTTTTCACTTAAATAATTAGTTTTCAAAATCTACCATCGCACGTTCACTCTTAAAAATAAAATCAGTTGTATAAGTGTGGCGTATTTATCTATTTTTATTTAATTAAGGGGAAGGCTAAACTTAGAAATTGATTGCTGTAATGGGTGACTTCCCTCGTTAGTACGTCACAGAACTGTTAACATTTTAATGGTGGAAGAAGTCGTACCCATATGTGTGACTTTGTCTTACTAAAACATAAAATATCAAAATGTAGGTTATAAGTTGTTAGCTTAAATGTTGGAGTAAATTGACCTATTATTAAAATGAAAGCTAAGAAAGTTGTATGTGTTCTCTTGTTAGTTTTTATCATATTTTAATTGTATAATACTTTAGCGCTTCATTTATAAATTAATTTTTTTGTTGAACCTGGGTAACATTGGTTCAGTGGTCGATATTTGCTTTATTAGCACTTCTAATACAAATATGTTTTATGTATATAGCTATATAAACAATACGAGTGGTTAGTCATACGTGACAACATTACTTAACCTAAAATGTTCATAAATTGAAAGAAAAAATAAATATTATACAATTTTCAAAATTGTAATCTTTATATGTTTTTGTATACATGAGTATACAACACTATATTTATAAATTACAAAGAATGATATTACCCATAGGCTATTCTACTACAGTTTAGTAGTTAAAATAGTGGTGGGCCATTATGGCCATTTTACACATCACATTTTTACTAAGTGCTTATTTGAAAAAAAAATTCTCTATAATTAAATAGTAATTAAACTTATAAATATTTCATATATTATTCATCTCTAGTTGCGCCAATAATGATAATAATAATACATTTAGTTATTTTCCATCAGTTATTAGTTATTACTGTTTCCTAATTGTACTTAGGAAATACTTGAATAGTTCAACACTTATATCAATACATGCATGGTAATCGTGTTCGACGTATGTACTATGAACCTCATTATTTCAGTTAAAGTAAATAATTCTAAGTGAATAAGAATAAAATATCTAAATAGATTTTCTTATTATCTTGGCTAATTTGGCAATCTTTGAGACTTTTCTAATTTATGCTACTGCTTTATTATACTCAAAAACCGTCGATCGGTATGGATAAATTTAAAATATATTTAAGATACCTATAACATGGGCGTCCCCAAGGGGGACAAGACAGGGTACTTGCCCCCCCCTTAGAATTTTAAATTTGTAACGTAATTGTAAAAATGTAATGTAATAATGATGAAAAACAATGTTTTATAACTAGAATGTATAAAAAAATCTTCATTTATTTTTTTAAAATTAATTTTGTTCCCCCCCTCTCTAGAAAAATGTCTGGGGACCTATAACCTATATAATATATACTACTTGAAAATCAGACTATATATAAAAATTAAAACATTTAACGTAGTTGAAAGGAGTTATCGTTGACGATGATCTGCATAAGATCTTCGAGGCCACAGTTCATTTCGACACGGAGCTCCAGGAGTTCCGGACTCACGGTGGTGTGATTAAGGGCAAAGACAGACAGCACCGTGAGGTGACAGCGCCAACGGTTATGTGGGTCAAAGCCTTGGATGTATTATTGGACCGGTTACAAGTGTGCGGTGCCGATTTGAGTACTGTTGCCGCGGTTTCTGGTTCTGGACAGGTAAAGGTTTTTCTCTTTTCTCTAAATGTTTAAAGTAATAAAGTGTATAGGTAATCGATAATCCTACAATAAAAATACTATATTTTATTAGGAATTATGAGTGTTATGAGTGTTATGACCAACACGTGGTCTATATAAATTAAAAAAAAAAACACAGTGACCATTGTAGCTGGTAATTAATAAATAATAATAATATAAATATATTTAAACTGTATGAAATGGATATTTTGATAAATAGATGGTAAACTTCCGAATTTTCTATGAATATTATTTAAGTTTAACTTATAAGTTATTACTAAAAGTTATTTTTATTTTTCATCTCATATTCATTTTTAAATTTAAGTTATCGGTAATAGGTATATTAAATACTGGTAAACGGCATGAAAATCCCCGAAATAAAATGAAAAATTGTCTCTGGACGCTAGACGTCATATAGTTACAAGAAGACTAGTAGCACAAAATGACTACTACCATCCATTTTTACCTATAAATTTATAATCCATTTCCTTAGCATTTCATACATAAAAAATTTACTTTACTTTAAATTAGTGAAAATTCGAAACGGTTGCTTTCGCGTGTGCTAATTTTTATAAAAAGATATAGTTGGCTCATTCCGTTTCCCTTTTTTCAACTGGCAATTTGTGAAAGATGATGATTTTCTAATAAAGGGCGCCGGTTTTTGGGTCTTGTTCGTTCTGTCCATGTACACATTTGTTATTTGTTTTTTCTTCATTAATTCTAGATTTCTTATAATTGTCAGTTTTTCCATTTATAGTTGTTCAAATGTCTATAAAAAATTGTCTGGCTTCAACACTAGCGATGAATGCGTTGATTTTACAATGATATATTTGTTTTTTTTTGTCGACAAGTATACAGTAAATTGTCAATAAAATGCTTTGATTAAAAAAAAAAAATAGGGGTGGTTTTGGATATTAAATTAGATTAACTTTGTACTTAAGAGTTTAAAAAATTCAAACTTAAAAATTACCAGTATTTGTTCTACAATCAAGAAAAATAAATAAAAAATTAAGGAAAAACGGGAATTTCACACAAAACCGATTTTGTTCAAATGGAACTCTAAAACAAATTATCGCAGATACTTTGAATTTTCACAAACTATTTCATTAAGAACAAAATTATTAAAATATTTTGACGTATTTAACTATTTATAGATATAACTTTTTTATATTTATTTCGAATAAAAATTATTTTTTTGAAAATTACAAAGCTCTTCATAAATTGTTAATTTAACAATTAAAAAATATCAAAAATCTATAGTCGCAGACCAACTTCACAAAAATTTTAACTTTAAATTATCTTAAAAATTAATTTTACTTTTTAATAGAAATAAATAAAAAAATATTTATCTGTTATGTAAATTACAAATTACTGTATAATACTTAGTACTGCTATAAGCTCGTTACGAAAAGTAGTTCTGCCTATATGTATCTACCCAACTGCCAGGTGGGCGGTGGGCCATGATCAAGGCAATTGCTTTTATGTCCAATAGCAGGGTGGAAATCGCTGGTTCAGCAGATTTCAGCTCAAATATCTGATTCTGTAGTCCCATATGCCAGTGTACATACACACACACACATATATATGTATGTAGTATGTATGTATTATTACAAAATATGTATTAGAATAAATCTATGTTCATTTACGTTTAGAATCGACCCAGGCGGCCTACTTCTTTGCACGGGCATGATGTTGTTTTGTGTTTATACTACTAGTGGTTGATTATTAGGGAAAACAATGATATGTGTGACCTGCGCGCTACCGATAAAAACTAGTTGCCGTTCAGGTCGCTTTAAAAGATGTATACAATATATTGTACACAAAAATGATAATATGAACTTGGTGAAAATTTTAAATTTCTGAAATTATTCGTTTTTAAATTATAACAAAATAAAGAAATCAATTGTATTAAAAATTTGTTTAGCTAAAATATTTTTGTTTTTTATTAATATTTTGTCAGTTTTTCTTAGTTATACAAAATGTAATAAAATTTTTTAATTTTTTTCTCTCTCTAAAATACAGAATTGATCCAATTTGCTATTCAAAACCACCATCAAAGTTGATAATTTAAGCATTTTTCTTCTTCTTATCTTGTACACGTATACTCACAAATATATATCATTATAAAATCGATAGATTAAATCTGAAATGTTAAAAGTTCATGGAACCAGCAGTATATTTGTTGACAAACTGAGACCTTGGTGAACTAGAATGTCGCCGAAATGTACCTAAACGTTTTCAAAATATTATAAGACCAGTAAATTACTTGTCGGCTAATTAAGATTCGGAATAATGGGTAAAACCATGAAATGTAGTACCGAATTTAAGTGATTTCAATGATGAATGAACTAATCCGCGATTAAGTGTCGTGAAATTCTATAATGTAATTTGTAAGCAATGTATATTGTTATCGGTTGAAAACACCAATTAACATTCCCCCTCCTTCACAATAACATTGCGCTAAAGATTTCTATTCAAAATAATATGTATTACTATATAAAATTCTTAAACGAAATTAACTATGTATAACATAGTTATTTTTAAATAGTATAACTATTTAAATAACATTCGGTATAAATCTACAATTTGATTTTCAAACGGTTTAAATACGAGGAAAAAATAGCGATAACATTTCGACTTTTTTACTTAATTTAATTGTTTTGCGAATCAAACTGAATTAGTTATATTTTATACAATTGACATTTTGACATATTATCGCCTGCAGCAACACGGCACGGTCTACTGGACTATCGGTGCTGAAAAGACGCTGCAAACTTTAAACCCCACCGGATTTTTGCACATGCAATTAGCGTCTTGTTTTTCCGTGGTCAATTCACCAGTGTGGATGGATTCCAGCACCACGAAACAATGTATGCACCTCGAGGATACTGTAGGAGGACCACAGGTAGGATGTATGTTTATATCATTATAGAAGTATAATATCTAGTAGCCCGTGTATTAGGTACATTATGCATCTTATTCTAAAATCAAAATATCTTTTAACTTGCTACGATTGTTTTTCGTATTAATACAATTTTTGTAACTATTGTATAGGTATTTTACTAAGATTTTGATAAAACAACTATAGATACTTAGAAAACTAATAATATTGTTTACTCATATATGCCGTCTATTTATTATTTTATAGCGACTGGCTGACATCACCGGATCGAAGGCGTATGAGAGGTTTTCCGGACCGCAAATCGCCAAAATGGCCGAAAACAAACCGGGAGCCTATCAGAACACAGAAGTAAGACCTTTTTCTCAGTTGTCCAATCGACCTCCTAAATTAATTTAATATTGTGTTTTATACTATTCTAGAGGATATCGCTTGTGAGCAGTTTCGGTTGTTCGCTATTTCTTGGCGCATACGCCCCGATCGATTGGTCCGATGGTTCGGGAATGAATCTGTTAGACATCAAGACCAAGGAATGGTCGGCTGAGTGCTTGGAAGTAAATAATTTGACGATACCTGTAATTTTTCACACCGCATAGCTGTATATCTATGGTCGTGTTCGGAATTTAGGCGTGCGCGCCGGGGCTGGGCTCGAAGCTGGGACGGACCGTGCCGCCGGGTACCGATTTGGGGCCGATTAGCAATTATTACGTAGAGAGGTTCGGGTTCAATCCTGAGTGCCGGGTGGTGTCGTTTACCGGAGACAATCCAGCGTCGTTGGCCGGTTTGTGCTTGTGCGACAACGACATCGCCATAAGTCTTGGCACCAGCGACACGCTGTTCCTGTCGCTCAATGAGCCCAGGTGTCTGGAAGAGGGACATGTCCTGGTCAGCCCGATTAACCGGGATGCGTACATGGCGCTCTTGTGGTAATTATACACACTTCACTTATGAACACATTGTATTGATTTATGCGAAGGGTCAAGCGTAATTTCGAGTTGTTTTTTAAGCTTTAAAAATGGCTCGTTAACGCGCGAAAGACTGAGAAATCACTACGCCAACGAATCGTGGGACCACTTCAACACGTTGTTAGAGAGAACGCCGAGAGGAAATTTCGGATACTTGGGCCTGTACTATGACGAACAAGAGATCATACCTTGGATACAGGGCGACTACCGTTTTGACAAAAACGATGGGCCCTTAGACAGGTTTCCCAGCCGGGAGATCGAAATCAAAGCGTTGGTCGAGGGACAGTTCATAGCCAAGAGAGCGCACGCCGAACAAATAGGATACACCATAGGTTCGGATAATATTATACTACAAATCATGTTAATATTTTGACATATACAAGTGACAAAAGTAAAATTTTGATGTATGAATAATTATTAACACCGTATTAAAAAAAATATATAATATAACAGATTCCAAGACGAGGATCATAGCCACGGGAGGCGCTTCTAACAACACTACAATATTACAAATTCTATCTGACGTTTTTAACGCACCAGTTTATATTCAAGTCAGTACAAGTATTTTCTTCCTTTCATCAAACGTTTGTGTTTATATATTTGAGGTAATTTTAGGAAGCTGCCAATTCTGCAGTCCTAGGTGCTGCTTATCAAGCTAAACGTGGACTTGTTCAGAGTAAGAACAGCGACGTTATTGATTCATTTCAAGCGGTGGTAAACACTGCTGCTCTTCCCAAGTTAGCATGCTCTCCGCATAAAGATGCTAACGAAGTAAGTTAAAGATATATATTTGTACAAAAATAATACTAATTTATTGTTGTTATTTTTAGATTTACACTCCAATGGTCAAGCGGTACAATTATATTATTAAAGAGGTGCTATCTGCAATTAGAAAATAAGTACTTAACACATATAAACAGAACTGGTTTTACACTATTGCGTTGTTGATACTTTACACATGTTTTATTTTATTCAATTAATAACTAATAAATATATTTAAATGTTATCAAATATTACAATAGTAAATAAAATGATTTAAAATTTTTTTCATTTCTTTATGATTACTTTTTACGACCACCACGTTCTTTCAATTGTAAATGAATAGTTGAACCGGGTCCTATGTTATAGTAAGCCAACGTATTAGAATCTTTGAAGAACAATCCCTAAAAAAAAAAGGACAAACATTAAAAACAATTTTTTTAATCACTTTTGAATATTGTATAATAGTTAAGACTTGAATGCATACATCACATTGTAATTTTTGTTTGCCAGGCGGCATTCCAGTTAACTCGTGAATTTTTGTCTTAATCACAGATACTGTTTCCTGTAGTGGCAATGTTATATTTAATATCTGTCCATTGAGTGCCCATTCTGGTTTGTCAGTTAGTACAGGAGTTCCGACATTAAACGTAACAGGACCCTAAAATGTATAATTAGTTAGTGGATGATCTTGGTTTTTAAAAAAGTAATATGAATAATTCACATTAAACTTCATCATGAACTGTAATTCAGGTTCTAAAGAATCTTCAGTCTTTTGTTTTTTCATAAGTGGTTCATCCTCAGCAACATCCATGACATGCTTCATTCCAGGCTAATTTAAAAGTTTACATACAATAATTAATAGAAATTTTTTAATTATTTAATGGTAAAACATTAATGTATACATACTGGACCCTGTGGTAATGGAGGTTGCATCATTCCTCTAGCAGCTCCCAAAAATGGATTTGGTGGCATTTGGGGCTGCATTACTTGATAAGCTTGAGGTTGTGGGACTGAAAACATAATGTTAATATCGATAAGTAATTAAAAAAGATAAAATATTACTTATAAACGTATATCAAAAAGCTTTTTAACTAAAATCTTGGTTCTTACAAAATATGACAAACATTAAAATATATGAAAGGAACTAAACATTCATAATATGCAGTTGCCTGCAACTATAGATGTGAAACAATGAAAAATTTAAGTCACAAATAAAATACATTATTAGATTATTCTATTACATATGTAGACAGTCTTTAATCAATTATATTTCTTTAACTTACCCATCATTTGTTGTTGTTGTTGAACAAGCATCATAGGTTGTGATTGCATCATGTTAGGAGCATGTGGTTGCATCATGGCATTTTGCATATTACTAGCCATTGACATTTGTACAGAAACTGCTTGAGAAGTAGGCGGATGAGAAATAGTTACTGTACCAGATACAGGTTTTGGACCAATTTTTTCTTTTTCATCATCGTGGATTAGACCTTTCACTTTATGAATTTGGTGAATTTGATCTTCTAAGGTGATATTAGCTCGTGCTGCACGAGTTGCAGCTTCCACACTAGAAGTGTGTCCATCCCATGTAGCCTATAAAAATATAAATATAAATCCATTTTTGAATAGAACATTTATTTATAAATTTTTTACTTTATCGTCTTTTCTACTTTCTTCTTCTCCAATTTTTTTACCAATGGCAGTTTCTTCGACACCAACACCAAAAATATCAGTACGACGTTCAGCCAACTGTTTTAAACTAGCCTCAATAGCAGCTCCTAAATGGATAAAATAATAATTTAAAAAACAAATTATACACTATTTTTATGTCAAGTATCTAGTTACCTGGAGCATATACTGATTCCTGGTTCATCTTATCACTAATATGTTTGTCTCGTTGTTCTACCCAACGAGGATCTAATAATCCAATTCTCATGTGTTCTTGAACTTTACTTGCAGGTATCTTTTCACCAGTAATTGGAGATATTAAATATTCTTCAGGAGGTGCTTTAACTGGTGCTCGTACAACTGTAAAAATAAAGCCCAATAGTAGTACAACTAATATACATATTTTGTGTTAGGTAAATTAAATCTTACTTTGTTTGGGATTGTATCCCTTTTTCACAATAACTTTTTCTGGAACAGCCGGTTGAACCATTTGGTTAGAACGACTATCAGATCTTGAAACACCTGGTGGTAAATCACCATCATCATCACTAGATGATTCATCCATGTCTTGAACCTTTTTTATATTTAAATTAAATAGTATCAAAATTGTTTTACTGCACATTTAATTATAAATTTTAAATATTACTTGGTTGTTGTCTCTGCTAGATTTTTCTTCACCTGGAACTCTGAGTTCACTTTCTGGAGCATACATCCTACCATTAACTCGTTTTTCCATTTCATCGTCACTGTCTACCTGCATGTCGTCTTCAGCATCACTCATTTCAACAGTTTCTTCTCCATTATCTACACGTTCTTGCATCAATGTACGCACACCAACTTGATCTGGAGTAGTTGGAGGAGGAAAATTTCCAATTTCACCATATTGAAAGTCAACAGTTTCGACAACAACAAAATCATGCCAATCGATCTGAGCATAAGCCACTAAAAAATGTATGCATTTTATAAGATTATAAAAAACCTGTAAGATCTTAATAAAACTTACATCTTTCTTTTTCTATAAGCTGTTCTTCTTTTCTACGTAAAGCATCTTGGTGTTTTTGCCATTCGGAACGATATTTGATATCATCTAAAATTTTTTGTCTATCATAACTTTCTTCTTTTAAACACTTCATTAGATCTTTAGGAGGCATTAACACTTTGGTGTATTGTTCAAGAAGCTTTGTAAAATATTGAAATAGTGAATGTTGTGGGCGTAAAAAGTCAAACTGAAAGTTACGTTGTTCCCTTGCCATTAGATTGGTTAAAAACTGTCTACCATTACGAGCAACAAATAATGCTGTAAGCTTTACAATATCTCTGAAATTTCAAAACATATTGGTTAATGTTTATTGGTAGTTTATTATAAATACATACAAGTCAAGAGCTGATATTGATGGAGGATCTGCAATGAATTCAAATTCTTTTGGTGGATCTTTAGGTACAAATATTGATTCCTGAACTTGTTTCAGAAGCTCTTGTTGTTTGAGTTGAGTAGCAGTTGACATGCTTTTTGTTTCTTTAGGTGGTAAAGTTGGTTCTTGTGCTAAATTAAATTAAAAAGTAAGTATACAAGTGATTTAAGTATTACAACACAATTAAAATTCTCACCAGCTTTTTCTCTGAGGTCTTTGACTTTGTGTACATAGTATGCATGGTAGGGATCACCTTGGGTAAGAAAATTAAATTTGGGATTACCCAATTCATTTTGACGAATACGTGACTCAAATTCTGGTCCATTTCTTGCTACAAAACTAGCAGTTTTATCGACAATATCTTGTTTAAGAGATAGTTAAGAAACTATTCAATAAATTATAAACATATTCCATACATTAAAGCTTAGTAATAACATCTTTAAAATTAGTTTCACAATTGCTCCCATAATTTATCAGATAGAATTCTTTATTTACCATATTTTTTGGAAAAATTAAACAATGATAACTTATAAAGTATAATATTAACTATTGGACATTTACACATCTAAAATAGTCAAAATAAACATAATACGTAATCAATAGTGTAATCCGTAAATTGAGTTAAACATAGTAGGTTTGTTATAAAATAAAAATAAAATAAATTTAATAAATGTCATCAAATAAAGGATACTCCTTACTTCCGGCGGTGGATAAATAATGCCGATAGTAGGAACTTCATCAACACCTTCAGGCATCTTGAAAATCGATTTACTTAAGTCTATGAAAAATTTTTTTATAAATATATAAATTTAAAAAATTCACTTATATGTTTGTTATATAAATTATAATAATCTAATTGTAGAAGAACAAAACGTTATTTTTTTATTTAAATAATAGAAAGAAAAAACAGAGTACTTACTGGCTACCGAATTGAATAATGAATAGCGAAATAGTGAATACTGAATAGTTCAATATTGAAATAAACAAAAGTCCAAAAGTGTATACTGTATAATGTTTAATTATTTTTGATAATACGATAAACAATATTTTGTAAAATAATATTTTAGACTTTTAGGTTAATAATGTACCAATGTGGTTTATACCGCATCAACCGAGTTACATTATCTCGTTTGATGTGTAATCACTGTAATCAGATGATTGTTGTTATCATCATTATGTCGATTAAATTAAATGCATAATAGTATAATACCTGGCCTCGCCTTTGTCAAAGTATTTAGTTTTTAATTGATTATTCTCAATACTTAATAATTAAACAATAGACGCTGAATCATTCAGTACTAACATTTTATATTGTTACTTGAACGAATAGAAACAAAAAAATATATAGAAACATCTACGAATTCGTTTTTGAGTAATTGTCAACTGAGAATAAGTCACGGGGACTTGACTACAGACATTTCTACAAAGAATTTTTATTTTGTAAGTAGAACTTTATGGTAGAATTAATCACTTTGAACAAAAAAAACTGATTTGTAGTTATCAGTATTTTGTCAGCAATGTTTAAAAATTAACAAGTACTTACTAGATTCCTAAATCGTCATATTACATTGTTGTGTTTTATTTTTTTATTTCGGACTTTCCACAAATTTTTAATTATTTAACTAAATGATGATGATTTTTTTTGTGTAATGTGTATCAAGTGTATTAGTAATATCTGTGTTTCTTCTACTAGTTTTTATAATAATAAACGTGTGTTTCACAATATGGATAGAGTAAAGCTTCTTGTTTCTGTTTTCTCTGTTTTTATATGCTCAATTTTTAGCTTTAATATTTAGATTCATCATTTACAGTCTACATATCAATACTTATTAAATTTCAGTTAAAATACACGTTTTATTATAATTATATGTATTAATAATAAGCTTTAATTTGTATAATATACTTATTTAAGTTGATTTACTGGCAAGTTTAATAGATGTTAATTTTATTAGTAATAATTTGTTTTGGTACCTTGGTTTACTTTTATCGGTTATTAGACTATTAAAAAAGTATTTTCTTATTTTAATATTACACTTTACTGTATGTTATTGATAATCTAAGTTTAAATATAAAAATAAATTTTATTCTTATTGCCCATTACCAATAACGCTAAGAAAGTTAAAATGGAATATTAATTAAATTACAATAAACTAATTACCTAGCTAAAA